TGGAATATCCAACAATCAGATAAAATTAATGGCTGAAATTAAATTATTGTATTCAAATTTTTTTTTCTTCACTATAAAATAAAAATACATTTTATAAATTTACGGGCGTCTAACAAATTACAGGTTGTAAATATTGGAGGTAAGAATTCGTTTTAGCATGACCTAAAAATTAAATCATGATGAAAAGATAAAATAAAAGATATAATTATTATACTGTACCTATAGTAGTCACTTTACTGAGATTTCAAAACGGTAACATAAAATATTATTTTAATAAAAACTCAATATTGTTATGTACGCAATATACTTGAATTCTGTGAAAAAAAAAACCATAAAATTACCATCGAACCGAATACGGTGCAGAAAGTAACACATTTAAACTGGTCATAGTTGATATACGTCAAATTAAAATATAACAAAGTGGATATGAATTAAATGCACTAACGGTATTATAGCGCGTAGGTTAGGTTAGGTATGCGGTGCCGTCATTTCAGATTTATTTCCAGACGAGTCCAACATTTTGACCGACTCTTTTTTACAAATAATAAATATTTATGTTTCCCATGGTTTTTGATTTTATGACATGAAAGGTATAATCTTCCCGGTTAGGGAAGTCATTCCCTGTCGTCATTTGGTATTTTTCAACAGTATTGACCATATTGTTTTAAATATTTATAAAACAAAAATCTGTGCACAGAAATAACATAAAATATGTATACCTATGATACAAAAACAGTCAATATATTATAACTGAAAACTATAGAATTGTTTCTTTTTTTTTACAAATAAGAAAAATATTAAATTATACAAATGATATTTTTATTGAAACTTAATATTTTCTTTTGGGGAGACGCTGGCAGACAAACCTCAGCGCTCGGCCCAGCAAGTCTTTAAAAATCAAAAGGTGGAAAATTCCATCTTGGTCTCCCTTTTATCGCCCCTCCAAACAAAGTCACCGCTTTTATACTATACAATATTATCTAATATTGGCTTCATTTTTGACATTTTGACATTCGGAAGTCCCTGTATGTAACAGTTATAGGAATATAATATTTTGTTTAGTTTTTGCGAGTAAAAACAATAACGGTTCTGTTTTCAACGTCAAAAACACTACACTGTCCCTGGCTGTTCACTTTTTGCTCGTCCGCAACGCGTTGTTTAACATCGATAATGAAGAAAATACGGAACTTGTGTTTTCTTATAGACTATGAACGATTCCCGGCACGTTGTTTCATCTGGAGGTTATATTTTTTAGTGTAGTCAGGGAATGATTTCTCTGCTGATTATTTTATACGACCTTTCAAAACTGAAAGATTACGCACGACCCATTTCATTTTTAGGCCAATGAAAAAGAAAACAGGAAATAAGTGTGCACACTTCGCTCCACCGAGGGAAAAAAATACACTGATTATGGTAATTTTTGGCTTTTCGTCGTGTGCCGTTGGAATACTTTTTTTTTTATAACAGTCTCCTTCCGTTTTGCACATAAATTCTCAAAATCAACAATTTTTCTTTTAGCCGTTTTACATTTTATACTTTATATTTATTTTTTTTCAAACGGTTAAATTTCCAAACGACCGGTTGAATAATTCTTAGCGTTCTTATACATATTTACCCATCGCAAGCCGTCGAAGAGTAATGCGCATAAGTCACATCGCCATCACTATACACGGCCACCGATGCATATAAAGTCGATTTCTCGGCAGCGGTAAAAATTCACACGGCTGTGCATATTAATATAATATGAGTGCCTACCTATCTGCGGCAACAGAGAGACGACTACCCGATGCACATGGTATAATATCATGACGACATAGTGTTGCACTTTGCAAATATTTTATGCAAACGTACAAATAAACCGGATCTATACGGTGTATAAAAGTGTTGAGGAGGGGGGGCTGGTGGTACCTAAGCATTTTTAATGGAGGGCTCTATCAGATGTAATTTAGGAAAAGATTTAAATTCAACTGCCTAACCTAGCCGCGTGATTAACAGTAAACCATTACACACAGTTCTCGGGAAAGTTATCCGCGTGAGTACTATTAACTCACCCGCCATAATAAATCACACAGTCGACGTAATCGTTTGACCCGGACCCGACGCGACCGCGCTGTATCACACTATATATGCTGATATAATACGATATCCGCCGGCTTTCTAGAAAGCATCAAATCCTCCAAGGCGCGCACCGTGTGATTTTCGCCTGCATGTTTTTCTGTGCCGTCAGCAAACATTATGACGTTACTACCCGCGTGTATTATTGCGCTTGTAAAATGTCCAAATATTGATAGTTCAAAACAGAGTTTCGTTTTGGAAATGCTTTGAAAAAACAAAAAATAGGTAATCGGTAAAACCCTGTGTACGGTTGCAGCTCCACCGGTCGTTTTTTAAATCTTAACCGCTTTTGTGAAAACCAAGCTCCACTTTTACTTGTTTTTCAAACGCAATGATTTATTATTGTTTTAAAATTTAAATACACCCTTCTCGGTGGTTTATCCTGTTCCCGTATCTCTCTTTTTTATACTGGAGATGGCCAACTGAAAATGACTCAAGTGCCATTTTTCAAAACTTAAAATGTTTGTGCCATATTAAAACACTATTTTTTTTTAAGTGTATCATCGCGTTTATCGTTAAAAACTAATTAACCATTCTCGTAATATTTGTACATAAATATAATAAACTGAACGTTTTTCAACATTTAAATTAATATAGTACCTACCTATAAAAATCGATTATTAATAAATTGTCAACTTATAGGCACACGATGTACCTAATATAAAATAACAAAAAGAAACTAACAAAAAAAAACTTAAGTGTTATTTGAAAGTAAGGCATTTACTATGAAATAAGTACCTAATGCAAATAATTTAATTTAATTTAAAAACTTTATAAAATAATAGGCAAATTAATATTGTCATTAATATAATATAACTAAAACAAACAAATGGTTTGTGAATTCAGTTTAAAATAATTAAGAAGTCTGTAACCGTTTAAGAATCATAACCAAATTCAACTCTTAGTTTTTGTTTTGTTTTTTTTTTTTGATTTATTTCTCACATGCGCTATTTATATTTTTACCTAAAAATATTCAAAAGAAATCTAAAAAAAAAGTGTGAACCACACTGTATGCTATTTATAGTTTGGAATATCTGAAAAAAAGTGTGTAAACGTCATTGCACACATCGTAGAATACGTCAATAGTCGTCGATCGTCACCCGCAGAGATCGTATATTTTACTCTATATTCCAAACACTTTGGCGGAACGTATAATGCGAGTCGTGCAGTTAAGTACACATTGAATCGTAGATAAGCGTTTTTTTTTTTTTCAGAAACGCATGAAAATACGATTTATATTGGCGTTCATATAAAGTACATAAGCATTTGCTCGAAAAGAAATTTGTTTTTTTCGTAGTCGTTGAAATTCTTTTGTGTGTAAATATAATATGAACGTATATCATGAGAATATCGATCTAATTAAATGCACCACTTGAGTAGAAATAAACGTATTTATCCTCATTTTTTTTTTTGCGAATGCTTAATTAGATTTGACTATACTATAATAAAGTAAACTAATGTGTTTTCAGTATTAACGTTCTACATACCTGTTTAATTACTACGTCTTCTTAGTTGAAATACTATCAATGATACAATTATTGCTGAATACTGTTTTCGAAGAAGTGTGATAGCGAGGTACCACAATCCGTAATTATAAATACCGAATTTGAGAAATAATAGTAAAATATCTAGGTAATAAATACTATCATTATTTTTGATTCTCCAGTGAATTGTCATATTTAAAAAAGTGAACCCTTTAGAATTGTGTGTTGTATGCAATGATTTATCATTAAATTAAATTATAACACTAACATTACAGTGACTAACCCAATCACGTAGAAAACTCGACACCTACAACTATACATCAGGGCTGAGACGTGATTTATATTATCGTGGTTGGTAATAAATTATTTTATTATAGTAAAAAAAAAAAAAAATGATTTTAAAAGTCTGTACTTCTTTTAAAATGTTCTTACTGTATAGTTTGAATAAATTTAACTTTAAAGTTCATGTTCGATATGCTCGGCGACTATCTTGGGTACCTGCGATGTACCCAGATAAGCACTCGTCAGTAGTAATACGGACGGCGTAGCGAACATATAGCGCTCTCCGCGCAACGTCATAATATAATAATATGTAATGTACTTATTAGTTATTAATTAAAGATTTAAAGCGAACCAGTATATTAAAGTTCAAAGACGTTCATTGATTCAAATCACATGTTTTCATTGCACGTAACATGGTCCTTCGACACCGCATATAAAGCAAAACGTTGTTTTAGTTATGTTTTATTAAAACACGTGTTCGTACTACGTCGAAGTCGTTAGTTATTACTCAAAACCGAATTATAGTTTCTCGTATAGTACCATAGTTTTCTCGCGTATTTTTCGAAATTTCGAGTACGTGAACGCGAAGTCAGTGCGTGACGAATTTCAAATCTTTCTCGTGTATTTTCGACAATTTACTAGATTCGAATACACGAACGCGAACGTTAAATTCAAGTCTGCATATGGACTACCATTTTGTTTAATGTTCATACAAGTTCCACCCTGAGGTTACAAGTTGTGGACACATCAAACATTCAAGCAGCAAATAGTCAAGCCTTCAGCTCAGGTAAGAGAATTTGCCAATATTTCTATATTTATTCCCCTACGTTATTTCCTATATATCGTCTTCGTACTAAAACACGTAGAATAGTAAAGGTCGCAAAAATAGAAGTTGGGCATTTCTAAGTCGAGGCCACTACGACCAGCGATAGATAAGACAGATCCGTGTTGTTATAATTTAGTGCACAGTCGCTATCGTTATATCTGCCTAATCATAACGCACAAACGTTAGATACGAAACGCACAACATATAGTTATAATCGTAACATTGGCTATTGTCCACCTGTAGGTTCATAGTATTAGTAGTATTATTTAATACTTATCTACAGCGCAAGAATAATGTCCGATTTAAATGCTCTTATCGCGCAACGGGGCCAGATTAAAGCCCAATTAACGCGTTTCGCCACATACCTACGAACTAATGGCGGTGACAACGTGGACTTCGAACAGATCAAAGTCAGAACAGAAAAAGCGAAGCAAACTTGGGAAGAGTTCCGGTGCGTGCAACTGCAGATAGAGGAAGAGGATAGCGCCAATGGAGACAACGAAAAGTATCGAGATGAATTTGAAAATTTATATTTTGAAAACATGGCGAAATCTGAAAAGATCTTCAAAAGGGCGGATAGTATCAATACAAACGCGAGTTCGAGCAATGTAGGTGGCAACGCACATATATGTATTAAGAACGATAACACTGAAAGTATTAACCCGAACGTTAATTCAATTGTAAAATTAGCCCCGCTGGAGATCCCGCAGTTTTCCGGGGCATATACCGAATGGGCGGCGTATTACGATATTTTCTCGGCACTAGTTCATAACAATGATAAAATAAGTGACATACAAAAATTCTTTTACTTACGGTCGTCACTATCTGGAGACGCGGAAAGTGTTATAAAGTGTCTACAAACCACGGCCGACAATTATAATGCGGCGTGGAACAGTTTGATACAGCGATACGATAACAAAAAGGTTTTAATACAAGTACACACGCAAGCTATTTTTGACTTGGAACCGATAAAGAAGGAATCCTCCTCATAACTACGTAAATTAGTTGACGCATTATCAGGTCATATGAAGGCATTAGAATCATTAGGGGAGAGGCCAAGCCAATGGGGAGCGTTGTTAATGCATTTGGTCGTATCCAAGCTGGACGCAAAGACAATGAGGGAGTGGGAAATCTCCTCCTCAACAACAGAAGTTTCTAGTATTTCAAACCTTACGAATTTTCTACAATCTAGATTCCGCGTTTTAGAGGCGGTAGAGACGTCTCAACAAATCAATTCGCTTCAAGAAAATAATCGCATGGCAACTTGTACGATCAAAATGAAGCGATCTAGCGCATTCGCCGCTACCAGCGAAATTAAATGTTATTTTTGTAAGCAAGCTCACACTATTTATCGTTGTCCGTCGTTCTTAGGATTAACGATCGGTGATCGAATAAAACGAATAACCGAGCTCAAGCTATGCAAAATATGCTTAAGATCACATGAAGGGGAAAAGTGTCAATCGAGGCGCTGTACAATATGTGCGCGCCCGCATAATGGATTATTACATTTATCGCGTTCCGAGAAGCCAGTCAAACAAACCGCGTCGCACACTAATGAGGTTATTGACCGCGACGACGGGAAGGAAGGCGAAAATAGCAATACTACAGCCGTATCAGTTAGTGCGTACGCTTACCGTAAAAACAATAATAGTCAAATTTTATTATCGACTGCTACCGTAATTGTTTACAATGTTGATCGCAAACCAATACAGTGTCGCGTACTATTGGACAGCGGTTCACAGCATAATTTTATAACAGAAGCTCTAGCACAGCATTTACGATTAAAACGCACGAGAACGTCCTGTGCTGTAGTAGGTATTAACGAATCGTCACATACCGCGTCGCATATAGTAAACACAACTATTAAATCACGCGTCACAGATTATTTGTCAAATTTG